TTGGCCTGGCCCAAGTCTGGTACGAGTCTAACAGTTAGCCTGCCTTGGCCCGTTTATAAAAAAACAAATGGCCTGACCCTGCTCGTTAGCCTGTTAATTTTTTACTCCCAAGCAGAATCATGAATCAACTTTACACAATGCTCAAATTATGTTGCTAAACCAAAAATCATAATTTCAACGTTCAAACAGAATCATGAATCACAACAAAACTCATACAATCTACATTTAAGTCACTTTCAAAAGCAAAATGCTCAAACTAAATAACAAATATTTCATCAGGTCCAACAAACAATCTATACTATGTAAATTAAAATAACTACATAACAAACACATCATAATGCTTGTAGTAAATATAACCTATCCCAAAAATATTTTAATGTATTCATATACACAATCTAATATGCTGAGATATTGATTCTTCCTAATAAGAAATAAAGCAAATTTCTATTAAAATATAATCGAATATAATTAAGTTATAAATAATTGCAATTGATTAAATTTATATCTTTTGTTTTTTCTTCAAGGCATACTTATTATATTTTATTTTATTTGAAATAAATAGTACAATATAGGCCGGCATGTAGGCTTATAGGCCAGGCCTTGTGAAAGTGGGCCTACGGCCTTTTTATTAAACAAGCTTTTTCAAAGCCCAAGTCCGGCCTATTTTACGAAATATACTAGGTCAGGTCTGGCCTGACGTAGGCCGAGTCGTAGGCCCCTGTAGGCCGGCCCAGCCCAGTTTCACCCCTATATATATTAATTCCTTTAAGTCATCCTCAATGTATAGTCCTATACCTGCACAATGATACGAAAGAAAAAAAGAACATAAGCAAAAACTTGAAAAATACTTTCTCACTTCGAGGGGAGAATTCCTCCTTAACCAAAATGTTCTGAAAATACTTCTTTGTTAATATTGATAGAGAAATTACAGTCTTATATAGCCATACTCTCCCTCCTAAAACAGAAAAATGCTCACAAGGCAAATACACATTTTGCATCACACACTCACACAACATAATCTAACAACAAAATCCTATTACCTATCGATTATAACAACCATATAAGCTATAACAACCTTCCAAGTCACTCCCTAATTTCTCTCACTTGTCTAACAACATACTAATTACCCATATGTATCATTCCATACCCCTTGACAAACACCTTGTCCTCAAGGTGGATAGGTAAACTTGCCAAAATTCTGCATGTAAACACACCAAGCAAACACCCTTGTTATTCCTTTTAATGCTCCAAATGCCACAATGTACTTAGCCCAACTCATTCCAATAGCTTCAAATGCTACTGAGAAAGCAGCATTTTCATCAACTTTAGTATATTTTTTCATGAGGCAGAGTGTCATAATCCTTTTTGTAGACCAAGCTTCAATTTTCTTCTGCACAAAGTACATCTCTATAGGGAAATATATAGCCAATGGCCAAAAGCTTAAGGCTCCTAACACTCCTAGAACTTGATTGAAGTGAGGAAACATGATGGCAGATCCAGTCGTGGAAATCACATAGGCTATTCGAAAGCATATCCTTGTCAAGAGGTTTCCTAGTGCTTGATTTCCAAAAGCTTAACTTGACAGCAATATTTGAAGCTGGTACTCCAATTACACCCCCCATAATTCTTTCATTTTCTACTACTATTTCAATGCCAAGTCCTAGTCCAATAGATGAGTATGTAAAGGACATTATGGTTGCAACAATAGAAACCCATGCCATGTTGTGAAAATATGATATGAATGACATAACAACCTGAACAAGTCCAAACATCATCATATGCATGGTATCCCCATATTCACACATAGTCGAATGCCTTTCCTTATGAGAACAAATAGATTTCAGAATCGCTCTCAAACAGTTTGCTGTGCTAATCAGAACAGAAACAATTTTCAACCCCTTAGCATCTTTTCCAAGAAGCTTATATGGAACCATTCCAATAATCACTAAGCATATTCCCATGTACAAAGCAATACCTATTAAGAGGCTTCCCATTATGCCTATTGGCAAATTACGTTGTGGCCTCTTAGATTCTTCAGTAGAATTGGCAACTGCATCCCATCCAACATATGCAAAGAGTACTGCAGTAGCTCCGGCAAATACGCTTTTTGCACCCTTTGGAGCAAAGGGGGACCAGTTGGAAACATCAACCTCAAAAACTACAGCAAAAATGACAATGATAACAAAGATAACCATGGTCACTGTCATAAACAAATTTACAGTTGATGATTCTTCAGCACCCAAATAGAGAATTAAAGGGAGGAGAAGTAGGAGACTTGGAGCGAAGACATTGATGGATAGCAAGTCTCCAATTTTTTTACCACCACAAATCTGAGTTGTTTGGTGGCCTAAGACATCACTATGCTCAAAATTTCTACCCCCAGGATCCCATAAATAATTCCAAACAACAATTATTCTCACAGAAATTTTCTCAAACGTTTGCAGTGCATTGGTTGAGTCATGACTTTTGTCACCTGTTGGTCCGTCCTTTGCCAGCCAAAAATCAGAGACTTCAGCCAACCACTCCTTGTGACCTTGGAAGCCATCCTTATTAAGACTTTTCACAACAACAACAATGTCCGTGCCAGGTTTGGCAGCAACCAGTGATTGGTCATCAATCCAACCCTGAAAAACTGATCCAGAACCGCCTTCTCCTAGTACTCTATCTGTGCGAAAATTTCTAGCGGCAGCCTTAAGTTCTGTGAAAGCAAAGCTCTTCAGATTTGATGATTTTAAGATTTCATCCTCATTCCGTGGAGTCGGAGGCACCGAGACCGCTGAGACCTTACTACCCGGGCTGATGAGATCATTCACATACTTTGAACTTATCCTCGATGTTGGATCTGGAGAATTGATTCGCATCTGGTTTTCCAGATCTGGGCTAGCAACGAGAAATCCAGGTGAAGAAGCGACGACCTTAATGTGTGTATCAACTCTCATTGTTTCTGGTAGAGGAATAGCTCCTCCAAATACGAGCTTCTTGACGACGTCGTTAATGACTGGAGAGGATAATGAAGACAGCGCTGACTCATAGAGTAGCGGTGAGGCATCGATCTTTGGATATGCATCGATATCAACACAAGCAACTTGATCCAAAAGAGATGCAACAACAAATTCATGAAACGTCTCTTGATTGTTCAACGACTCAGCCAGCGGGTGTTCCACCTCTGTCTGAGACAACTCGTTGTGGTCGATCGATTCAGATTGGCCAATGGTTAGCTTCAAAGAATACTTACGAAATGCCGTCTGAATTTTGATAGCGGCTTGTTCTCTACGTTCATGGATCAAGTTCTGGAGCAAGTGTATCACGTTCTCGCATGTGGCATTCATTGCTGCAAAACTAGATTTCATCTCCGCAAAAATAGATTGCACTGATTGCTGGTGAGTGTCGTTGATGAATGTAGGCGTAGTGGAGAGTGAGATCAAGGATGAAAACATGGTGAAAAAGAAGAAAAGGAAGACTCAATGAAAGCGCCAATTGATACGAAAGAAAAAAAGAACAGAAGCAAAAACTTGAAAAATACTTTCTCACTTCGAGGGGAGAATTCCTCCTTAACCAAAAGGTTCTGAAAATACTTCTTTGTTAATATTGATAGAGAAATTACAGTCTTATATAGCCATACTCTCCCTCCTAAAACAGAAAAATGCTCACAAGGCAAATACACATTTTGCATCACACACTCACACAACATAATCTAACAACAAAATCCTATTACCTATCGATTATAACAACCATATAAGCTATAACAACCTTCCAAGTCACTCCCTAATTTCTCTCACTTGTCTAACAACATACTAATTACCCATATGTATCACACAACCTCTGGATCCCTCTTGTTTGAGTGTTTATTCGACTCATTCTTGTACCCCTCCCGCTGAAAGCCTACCACGAGCCTACTATCACAGTCCTCCTACCTCAGCGAGTTTGGACTCTAGGCACTAGGATTTTCGACTGGTAGTACAATCCAACCCACGTGCCAAAGAACTATCTACTCCTCGCCCACACCAGCGCTCGGGAAGTTGCACAACATGATAAACATATACTATAATCGGATTAGGCCATGAGAAACAAGTTTGAAGCATCAATAACACGTACAATTGAAAAATAAATTTATAGTCTTCGAAAGTTTGAGGTGGAAGAGAAACAATTTTCGGCCTTATGCCTTGTAACTATAAGTATAGTTTTAAGTGTGAACTTGTCGATATCATGGATTTTATTTTATTTTATTTTCTTAACTTCCTTCTTATGAATTTAATTTGATCAGAGACTTAGTGCAGTAGTTAATTTGATTAATGTTATTTTACCTAAATGGGATGATCAAATCGAAACAACTTCAAAAATAAAAACACAATAGAAATTGAGAAGTTGAATTATAAGGACAATTTTTATTTTTATTTTTGGATATGCTATAGGTATCCTCCACAAGAGTCGGGATTAATGTTTGAGCCGGAAATATTCACATCATGATCGGACTAACTCTATTCAACAAATTTTTTAAGGACAATTTTTTGATAGATAGCTAGTGCAGACGGTAATAAAAGGATTGTAATTATAAAGCATATGTAAAAAGTAGAGTATACGACTATACATAACACCCAAAAAAAAATTAGACTATATGTATATTGATTATATAGGACTTTTTATTGTATATATAACAATGCCAAACTAATTAGAATATATAAATTATAGTGGCTTCCATTGACGTTGTTATGGTCTTTCTCTGCTTTTTTATTAAAGGAAAAAGTTTCTAAAATTATTTTAGATAATCTTCTCTGAAGTTTACCATTTTAACTATATTTTCTGGTAAGACATAGTTATAATAGTAAAATTGTTTTTTTTCTCTCTGCGACATCAGTCAACAATGTTTCAAGAGAGAAATAGAAAATACAATTTTATTATTATAACTATGTCTTACCGGTGAGACATAATTAAAATCGGTTGCTGCAAATAATTTATCTAAAGTAACTTTAGAAAAAATTAACCCTTTTTTAAATGGATATTCATGAAGGGAGAACAATGGTACATCCAGTTTCTGTCACTAGAGTTGTGGAGAGCATAGGGTCCACTTCAGCTTCTACATCAGCTTTCTTTGCAAATCGACCTCTTATGCGGGGTCTACTCTCTGCATAGGCTTTCCTTGTGGCATACCTGATTTTCTTTTCAAACTTTCTTGTTTTCTTTTTCTCCCTGTATCTTAGAACTCTGGCCTCTCTATCCATTGGAGTAAAATGTGAAGGCAATAGAATGGGAGGAAATATGTCACCTATTGGTGATTTTGAATGGGAAAATGAGACATTACTGATTGTTGATTCTGGTACAGTGCCAACATCCACTGGTGAAACTGAAACCTAAATTTTAAATGAAAAAAATAAAAAAAAATAACAATAGGTTATCATAAAGCAGGGGATATAAGAAGTTATAAGAAGTTATTGATACATATGGGTAATTAGTATGTTGTTAGACAAGTGAGAGAAATTAGGGAGTGACTTGGAAGGTCGTTATAGCTTATATGGTTTTCCAAGTCACTACTTAATTTCTCTCACTTATCTAACAACATACTAATTACCCATATGTATCATTATCAGATCACAAGTTCGCGATAAATGTTCTAAGAAATACGCTAGTAGTCATCTTCATGAGAACAATATATCATTAATTTTCTAAGAAATGAGTTAAGTAATTGAGGAAATAAGTTTAGATATAAGTCTAAATAAGTAGGGATGAAAATTGATGAAAAATTGACCTTCAAAATAAGTATTCTAGCAAAGGTAAGAGTATAAAGGGGAAGCTTTTATAAAAAGCCAGTGACACAAAAACTGTCTGTTTGGGAGAAAAGTGAATAGCAAAAGGATAAGAGGTCTTATAAACAAAATGGTAAATTCGGTCTACAAGGCTTCTCAATTGTCCGAGGATAAAGGTGAGGGTTGATAGTACTGAGTCTTATTTTTATACTTTTGTGAAAAGACAATTCTTTGGACTCTAACATGTAACCTTCCGATCACAAAGAAGAAATCTTACCATTAATGAAGGGTTGTATAATTTTTTTTAAAAATAGTAGAAAAAATAATCAGAGACACACATAAACTGCTTAAGAATCCCACTTTGATGCAAGACTATGCTGAATCCCATTATGGAGAAGGGACAGAAACTACCACATGGAAAAAAGAGTCAGCACTGGTCAAAGCAAAATCTGATAAAGTATAAATTCAAGCCCATCAATCAAGTAGTTGCTGATGACCTCTAATCTAATTATGGATAGTGAACTATAATAGTTTGGAAACAAAACCACTAGTATAAACCAAAAATCCAAAAAAAAAAAAAAAAAAAAAAAAAAAAACACTGGAAAGGCCTTACACTTTGACCAAGAGAACCATCATAACTGAACCCAACTTTTGATGAGTCAAAATCCAAACCCGGTTGAAAAAGGTGTGATTGTTGCTTAACCTGAGCTTGGGCATTTCCTAGTGCATAGTTCAGAGGGACAGAACGGTAATTATGCTGCTTGTCATCATAGTGAAGAGAACTGAACTGTTTGTCACCAAGTTTTATATACTCATCAACATCTCCACCAAACAAGAAACTCTGATTTTCTTCGTTCTTCATCACAGGATTTGGCAACAACCACGAAGCTGCTTCTGCCTCATCGTCCTCTTTAATAACAACCTTGTCAACGTCACATCCATTACCTATGAATCCATGATCTTGTTCACCAACAAAGAGACAACTAGAGAGAGGAAGAACAGGCACACCACGAATGTTTGAGCACATAGAAGCCTTAGAAACCCACATACGGTGGTGCCTTGAAGCGATGTTGTTGGCTGCATGGACGCGAGCGTCACAGCTTGAGCACAGGTACGCCGAGTCAACACGGCAGTACACGGTGCATGCCGCCGACTGGCATGTGTCACAGAGGCGAGTCCAGTTACCGGAGCTGCCGCCGCCATTGTTGGTGCCTTCCTTCGACATGTTTTTGTCTGAATTGTGTATACTTAGTAGGGAGTGTTTGGTTGATGGAAGTGTTGGAATTTGGAGGAAGGAAGTGGATTTATAAGTAAGTTGGAGGTCACTTAGTTGAACCAATATTTGTAGTGTCAGGGGGAGAATCTAAGGAGGGGCAGCAATTAGTGGCAGGAATTTGGACCATGCATGTTGCTACTTTGCCTTTTCGAATTATTAAATGGATGTTTGTTAACAATGACTTAGTTAAGAATTCATACGTTGACTTTTAAAATTTTGTGTCGAGACATAATAGATAAGTCTGTTATTATGGTTTTCAGCTTAGCCATTGGTAGAGTAGTCTATTCTGTTTTTAGATTCATATACCCATGTAACAAATGATATCAACATCAGTGATTTGGTATTTAGAGATCATAATTCGTGCTTGGATTGCACCTAACTCATATTGTGAAACATGGTCAAGACTTGGTTCTTGGTTGGTAACTCCATGCATACTCGAAAAATCTTCCTCTCATGAGAAAGCACATGGGGGAGAGAATGTTGAAAACTCAAGCGAATTGTAAAGTCCTATATTGGTTAAGAATGCAATAAGTAAAAAAAAGTCATAGACTTATAGTCATAGATGTGTATACAAAAAAAAAAAAAAAAAAAAAAAAATTTATAAAAATTTAACATTAATCCCACTAATATTGTTTTCCACTTAGCCCATTAATGAAGGTTTTTGGTGCTTTTGGGCTAGCTCGACAACACTAATTAATTCCCTTGCTTAGCACATTAGGTTAAGCCAATGGCGGAGCCAACCTAAAAATTTAGGTGGTGCCAAAAAATTTGACATATTAAATTATCAAAATATTTATCGTAATTATATAAATTTATCAGGAAAAAAATTTATTATGAATTCTAGTATAGCTATGTAAATAATGTCACATAACATTGAAAAATATGTAGTAAATAATGTCACATAACATTGAAAATTCAAATGAACAATTGTCATAGATTATATATCAAAGCAAACATATAAAAATGCACTAACCTTTCCGGTAAGCATTTCAAAAATAAGAATTTCACTTTCCTCCTACAACATAATAAGTAATGAACCAAACTTTGTCATAAGGATATGAAAATACACAAATATAATAATTATATGTATAATAAGCATTGTCCTTCGTCTCCTCTTTCATTATCTCTATTTCTTAAATTTTCAATATCTCACGTTAGAGAACATCGCTCTTGTTTGCAACAGCCATAAGCACGATGGAAAGTTTTCATATTTGGGAATTAGGTTTTTGAACATTCTTTGTGTGTGCAATAAACCAAAACACAATAGTTCAATGGACCTTCATATTCCAAAACTATAGACTTGTTATTCATTTGGTTTCATGATTGTTACTTTCAAGGGTTAAGTGTGTGTTTTTTAAAGGACACAAATTGTGTCCTTTTAGTTTTTAACACTATGTCTTACCAGTAAGACATAGTTATAACATGAAAATCTACTTTTTTCTCTCTCCACGTCAGCTGAAGTGCCTGAGGAAAGAGAAAAAATAGTAATTTTTTATATTATAATTGTCTTACCGGTAAGATACAGTGTCAAAAACTAAAAGGACACAAGGTTGTGTCCTTTAAATGGACAAACCTTTTTCCTTACTTGTAAATTGGTTTATTTGGTTTAGTTGGGCCAAATATGTCAACTAATCGTTTTTGTTATTAAGTTTAGAAGTCTTTCTTTTTTAAAATAATAGGAATAAGAATAAATAACATATCTGATTAGAATAAAGCGAAAAGAAAAACAAATATAGAAGATAAAAAATAAAGAAAAAGGTGAAAGACAAAAATAACCATACTATACACATTACTTATTATTAGTTTGCATTTAGATGGTTTGTTGCTACTTTGTATTGAATATTTTTTTTTTTTTTTGTAACTGATCCTAATTACCTCTTTGAGGTGAATCAGTACCCCCTGGTATCCCCACGGATTCGACTCTATGAGCCGCCTATGAGACTAATCCAGAGTTCGGGTGCGAGTCCAAGGATTACGGTACTTATGCCCCTCCCCAGACGGTGTTGGTGGGATTCGAATCGAGGTCCTCTCCCACCACTCAGTCCCCACGCTACCAACTGAGCCACTACACTGGGGTTTGTATTGAGCATTTGGTTTTCTATTTAGTTGGTGCCAAATTATAATTTTAACCTGGTTAATTATATAATATATATAGGAGAAGGTTATACTTGCAACCTATTTTTGTTTACAACCTTTTACAACCATATCTTAACCGTTGATCTCCGTCAATCAACGGTTATCATTCATTGCAACTTAAATATTAATTAATGAGTTTGATTTGCGAAAATAATAACCGTTGATTGACGAAAATCAACGGTTAAGATATGGTTGTAAAATGTTGTAAACAAAAATAAGTTGTAAGTATAACCTTCTCCATATATATATAAGTTAAAAAAATTAAAACAAGCAGCTATGCCACTGGGTTAAGGCTCTCTCTAATTTTATTAAACTACATTATTCAAGTATTAGGTACCTAGAGCTTATTATAAACGAATAACTAAATTTGCGAACTTTAAAACATCTTCTAATGTTGTTACAAAAATAGAAAAAGAAAAACATCTTCTAATGTATCATAATATTGTCTCATTTTTAGAAAAACGAATAATCGTAATTGATTATATAACCCAAAAGATTTATATATAATCAATAATTTAGGGGTGTGCACGGTTCGACTTGGTTCGATTTTCTACATCAAATGTAACTGAACTAAAAAAGTGGTTATCTTCAGGCAAGTCTAACTAGTTTTAAAAAGTGGTTCAATTCTTAAACCAGTTTGGAGAAAATGGTCTAGTTCTTAAACCAGTTTGGAAAAATATGGTGCAGTTTCGTTTAGTTCATTTGGTTATTTTACACTTTTAAAAATGGGTTTAGTTAGTTTTTTTTCAGTTTGATTTTAAGCCCAAACTGAATTGAAATGATAAAGTGGTTGGTCTTGAACCGAACCAGTTTTGAAGAAAAAATTTGGTTATTGAACCAGTTCAAAAAAATATAGTTTTTTTGATGCAGTTTGGATCAATTCACAGTTCAGTTCATTTAACTTTTTTTATGCATCCTTAAATAGTCCATTTGGTATATGCTTGGTCGAACCGATAGTTGCTCGGGAATATTTCTTTCAGAGAGCAAGAGTGTAGAGTAGTAATCAGGATTGCCAACAGGAGCAATCTACTCTGACTAAGAGCAACCATCTTTAACTATACGCAAGCGTACGTGTCAAGCAATATAGAGTATTATAGCCCCAGATTTATCGTCCTCAGGGAGCAATTGTGAAGTAAGAAGCGCTAAAGGGAACTTAATTTGTAAAATGGAGCAATAAAAGAAATCACTATTCTCAGCTAAGCTTCACAAAGAGCAATCTCTGGGCAGCTGGTTAAACAATGTTAACCATTCTGAACCAGATGAAAGCAGAGAATGACTTAGCATGGTCATCGAATAAAAAGACATCAATTGAAGTAACTTTAAGAGCAGTCAACGAAATGAAAGTAAGAGCATCAGCTAGTAAAACACAGTTCAGTTATCGTGAGGAAAAGGTTGTGATAGGAATTGAGTTAAGATTAATTTCAGAAAGAAAAAGATCAAGTAGGTGTTACAGGTTCCATGTTTTCATCCCTTTGGTTAACCCTGCCTGGTAGCATATTTTACAAGTGGATTTTGCTCCTTCCCTTGTTTTTCTATAGGTAAGCAGAGGGTAAATCCTTACTCTCCACATTACTCCATAGTACTTGGAGTTATATGCAAGGAAACCATGCTGCCTTCTCAAAAGAGCATAGATTCACATGGCAGTGCTCCCCATTCCAGGTGTTTCTCCCTCCTTTCTTCAGGCTAAACTACCCCAGGATTTTGAGAATGCTCCACACGCCTTTGTCAGTGTTTCATCAACCGAGTGGTCCCGGGATGAGGTTTCCAGCCCAAAGGGGTTCACAAAATCAATAAATTAAACCAAAGAGCAACTCAAAATTCATTTATAAAATATGTGTTCCTTACAAAGCTATCCTAAGACAAAAAGGATTACTTCTATGGAACCCTCACCTACTTAGAGGAAGTTAGCTCCTAGTGAGCATTTTTACAAAGAAATAAGAAAACAAAGAGACAACAAGTCCTAGGATGGTGCTCATTTTTTCTTTATGAGGATTGCTTGTTCCTTTTATAGGGTTCTTCATTTGATCTCCATTGTTCCTTTCATCAAGGGTCGTGCTTTGTCTAAATCCTCTCCAATGGTAGCTTTGCTTCTTGCCAGCTTGGCCTTAAATGGAAGTGGTCCCCCTTGCTTTTAGCTCCCTTTGTGAGTAGGAGTATCAGATTCAGGGTGCCACCTCCACTCCTTCTGCTGTAGCTGACGTGGCGGCTCCCCATTGCTCAGCTTCTTTGCTTTCGTACTGTAGCAGAGGCAGCACCTCCACCTTCTCTGTTGTAGCTGACGTGGCAGCTCCCCATTGCTTCTTTTGACTGCTGTTGTACTATAGCAGACTTCTTCTTCCTTTCTGCGCAACACTCCTTCTTCTCTCTTCATTTTGTGGTTCCTTTTGATGGGCCTTAGGTGTCCTGAACAAAGCAAACTAACCCAATAGTCATATGTGAAAAAGATAATGTTAAATTTGCTCCAGGTCTACCTTAATTCCCACTTTCGGCATTGCTCTGGTCCACTATTCAAAACAGTTGCTCTATATGAAAAGAAGAAGGTTAAAGGGCGTGATTTATAACCAAAACATGGGTTTTGTGGAACAATTTTCACTTAATGGGCCTCAACTCTTGAGGACTATCAACACCCCAAAACTAGATATTACTCGTCCCGAGTAATCCTTCACAACCAACAGTCTTCTTGTGACAGGCTAATGCTCCTTGAGATTATTGATGAAGAGTTAACTTAATTCCTTCCATCGCTTCATTAGAGCACTCATCTGACTTGTGAGTTTCACCAGCTTCATTGTGTGTGTGAACTCTTCCACTCTTTT